TTCGCTTTCACAACGAAACACAGCGTCACACACGGTGGGCTTGAGTGAGCGGAGGCCGGTGGGCTAGAGTGAGAAGAGGCGAAGGGCTTGAGAATGGCGCGGCCGTCGGATTCGACGAAGGAGCGGCCGGCGGGCTTGCGGCAACCACATGGGTAGGCGTGGCTGACTCTTAACTTTTATAAAGAATATCTCTTTGGATTTGAGACTTTAGTCTTTGCAACTTTACAGATCTTCTTTGCACCAAGAGCTTGTAACACTCCAAAGAGAAAGGAAAACTTGAAATCGCATCATATGACCCCTTTAAATTATGCGAGTAGTTATTTAGGGGATGATTCGGCAAGTCTTTTTTTTAATGATTATTACGTCACTACGCTGTTGACGCAATCCAGTGAAAGTGTACAGGAGGGGAGGGGCGTCTTGCACGGGCACGCGCAGACAGCAGAGAGCAGCTGCCAGACGAGCTCGCGCGCGCGTCCCACTGCATGTTCACCAAATACACCTCGATCACCCATACAGAGCTCCTGAATTAACCGCTGTTTAAACATGGTCGACCGCGAGCAGCTGGTTCAGAAAGCCAGACTGGCCGAGCAGGCTGAGCGGTATGACGATATGGCTGCTGCCATGAAATCGGTAAGTGCAACTTTTGCTTTATTATTATGCACACGCAAAAATGCATGTATGATTTAGCTATTCGGATAGTTATCACCACGTTATTGGTTTCATAATTGCGTGCGAAATTCTAGTGATATAAAATAATGCATTGGTCTTGTCGCATTGCCACTGGACATTCCGCTCATTTTCGCGATCGAATCTGTTTAAAGATCAGCCAGCTCTCATATCGAATCGATTAGAGTGCTCGTTCTTCGTTTTAAAGACCCATATAAATTGATCCGTATCGACTGACAGGTGCACAGTCCTGCTAAATGATGACGAAGCTTATTTCGGAATATTATGTGTCACTGTCCGTCATTCATAAACTGGAGTAAAATGTAGCGTTGAATGTGAATCCAGGTTTCTCGTGGTGAACTGGAAACTGGCAGCGGATCTTTGGGCGGTGCCTTTCCGAGATCCGTACGAACTGGACAACATGACCACAGAATGACACTTCATTATTGCACATGCACGTAATTATAACAGTTTTCATTAAAAATCCACTGACATTAATGATGTTAGCCTACGCGTCTAAGACTACTCAGAGCCGACTTCGACTTCTCCTGTGCGGGAATCTGAAATCGTGCCATAATAAAGCGGCTTGTGATTTATAAGCATTATTAGGGATAATAACGCTGGTTAATGATGGGGGGGGGAAAATCAACGCTGTTCTCTTTGTCTCATAACATGGCAAACCGAACCAGTTACGCCAGGTTCACACATAACTCCTATGCGGTGCAGAAGCAACGCGCAACGCGCAGCGCTGACAGCTGCGTCCATCCATTCGCGTCCAAATCAAAGCGATCGCATGTGGTTTTACGCGGCTTGCAGTTTCGCTCCCACCAGGCGTGTCGCAACGCGTGCCAAGGTGCAGTGCCCGTAATGCACCATTTCATCCGATCCATCAGCCTCCATCCAGTAGGGTCCAATCACCAACCCCTCTCTCTCTCTCTCTCTCTATCAAGGGCGTAGGTTTGCATTGAAAGTTGATAGGGCCATAATGCAAGGAGGCAGCAGTTTGCATCAGATTTTTAAAACCAGTGTTTTAAAAATCAGATTTCAGTGTTATCTTCTGACTCCTGTCATGGAAGTTGTGCATGTCTGCTTTATCTGACACACCCATTTCATGTGTTGGAGTCTCTACATCGTTTGTGATATGTTCTATAAACCACACTTAAAGTAAAATAATCAAATTAAAACGTTTAAGAAATGTGAAAACATCTGCCCTGGTAGGTTTTCTTTAAGTTGACTTAATATATGGAGAACTAGGAGTGACACTGACACTTACAAATAAAATAAGGAAATCAGTTACCAATTCAATCATAACATGGAAATAAATAGATTTTTTAAATGGGCAATAGACTTCAGATTAAAATAATTTGATCTGCATTTTAAATTTTATCATATAAAATAAAATATATAAAGTTTTTTAGCATCACTCCTAGTCCGCATAAATGTAACGTGTGAAAAACCAAACTGCAACATTTATTTAGGTTTTAAAAGAACAACCTTAGTATGTGATAAAAACATTAAAAATAACTAGAGCAAGTAATCTGACAGAGGGACTAAATATGCCATTTTCATACTTCTAAAAAGTTATGAAACAGCATATGAGAGTAATTTCATAACATTAAGTCGTAGGTTGCCTACAGGAATTTAAAAAAAATATGGCTATTGGTTTGTCAAGTTTTGATTTGGGCTAATGAACTCCTTGCAACCATTTAAATAAAAAGGAAAGTGCATTTCCATTTAGCTTCTCACTAAGTCTGGATGCTGTCCATTACTGAAAAATGCTCCGTCATAATCTGATTGACATCTGCTTTGGGTAGATGAGTAATTACTGAGGGGAAATGTTAAGGTGTATTGCACAGTGCCTCTGATACACCGGTCTGCCATTAGTGCGGTTCATATAATGGTTTCTACTAAACAATTTTCATTCGGAGACAATGAGCTTGACAAATTGGTTCCACTCCTGTGTATTTCAAATATTATAGAATGATTAGCTCCCCCAGATCTCCATCATCTTTCTAAACTGTTTGCTTTTATGTGGGCTATACTAATACATAATTCTGACCGGCCATTAATGGCATTTACCAACCCACGTCTGGATTCATGTTGGCTCTCAAGAGTCACTTTCTTCTGCCCAAATGCAAATCTGAAATATTTATAAGATAAGGTCCATACTTGATCTCACACGTATGGAGGGCTGCACGATTATGACAAAAATCATAATTGTTGATTATTCCCCTGAAATTGTAATTGTGATTATTAAATGTGATTAAAAGTGATTATCAAATGTCAACTATACACTGGATTGGTTTCTTTAAATTAAAAAAAAGTACAAATTTGCATGGTATTATAATGTTATACTAACATTATAATACCCGTTATAATATACTAACAGACTTTTTTCTCAGAATTGCGAGATATAAACTCACAATTGAGAGAAATAAAGTTAAAAAATAAATAAAGACTTCTTTCTCTCAATTACGAGTTTATATTACACAACTATGACTTTTTAACTTGCAATTGCAAAATGTAAACTGCAAAATGCAATTGCAAAAAAAAAAAAAATTTTTATTTTTTATTCAGTGGCGCAATTCTGACTTTTTTCTCAGAATTGTGAGTTTATATCTTTCAATTCTGACTTATAACATGCAATTGCAACTGTATCATGCAATTCTGACTTTATAACTCACAATTGCAAGTTCATATCTCATATTTCTGAGAAAAAAAAAGTCAGAACTGTGAGATAAAAAGTTGCAATTACCTTTTTATTATTTATTCAGTGGCAGAAATGAGCTTCCATACAGTACACATGAGCAGACGTGACGGACTTAAACTTTTTGCATTTGGTGTCATCCAGTGTGCTTATGCATGCAGAGGAATTCATGCAACTTACTCGACATCGTCTCTTTTTGAGACACACTGGAGGACGGATGTATTGATTTACTCCTCAGCTGACCAGAAAGCTCAGCTAGCTGGAAGGTCCCTCAGCAGCTCAGGGGTGTGTGTTCAGTCATGTCTTTTCTTACTATGGGAGGAAACTTCATCACTGCAGCGATGCTCACTGCCTGTTGGCAGCCTAGGCCCATAAAGGCCTGGAATAAAAAGTCAGATACCTTGCTAATGATGAGACTGAGATGTAATGAAAAATACACAATTATTTGTAATGCAAATTATTATTTAATTACTTCCACTGCTGATGGCTACTAGCTCTCTGACTATAGTGTTCTGAACTTCTGACTCTTACAAACTGTTCACTTATATGTCAGGTGTGTTTTAATTTAGACTTCTAATCATGTATTGAGTTTTCTTTTCGTTTGTTGCTGTTTTACACTCAAGTTGTTTAATTATAGTACATTTGTTCTGACTTGTTGTGCCCAATCTGTCACAGTTAAGGCTTTGAACCCTTGGATTAACCATATCTTAGACCAATTACATTTATTCAGCACAATTTTCTGCTTACATAAATCATTGTAGTTGAGAGAGAAAGTGTGTGGTACAAAGTGACTTTAAATCGTATTCAAAACTGATATGAAAAATGCTAATAAAGAAAATTCAGCTTGCATTCCTTTACAAAATATTTAGTAATTTAAGTAAAGCTCCTACTTAAGCACAAATCATGCAAAATATGTATGTATGCATGCTGCTTCTGTTAATGCACATGCATATTTTACAAAAGAATTGTCAGCCAAACCCCTTAGATGTAAAATTTTTAATTGAGGGCAACCCCTGAGATTTTAAGTTAATATTTCAATAATTTAACTAATTATTTGCATGTTCACGGTTCTCTGTTTTTAATAATAATAATAATTAAGCGGAGTTACTATGTTTTAATTAATTGTACAAATAAATACAGAAAATATATATTACTGTTGTAAATTACTGTTGTACTGTTAAATAAAAAAATTATATTTGATAATTACAATAAAGATATTATATTAGTTATAATAATGTTTAAGAGTGAAGCACGCAGCACATCAGACTAGTTATTTAATTAAATTGCAGCCTTTGATTTGATAATCACACTAAGCTTTATCATGATTACCACTCAGCCCCATTAATTTATTTTAATTTTACATTGGATATATAATTATTAGATTTTTATGAACTCACAACCCCCCTTTGGAAATCCCTGTTCTTCAGTAACCAAAACAGACTGTCTTTTCCAACTGTAAACAGGACTTTTATTCATACAGCGGTGTTGCGATTGGCTCATGTAACTGTAATGCAGGACTACAGCAGTCATATTGAGGGGTCCCATTTCTCCCATTTAAATATTTACAAGTGGACTGTTACGGACCAGAATGGAGTTAGTTTGAAAAACAGGGATTTGCATAAAAAAAGGAAAGTAATTTTAGAGGCATTGTATTTTTAAACGATTGTGACATTTTTGTGCTTATGCTCTGAATTATCCATCATGCATGCGCAGCGTTGAACCCACATCCACCTCCATCCACTGTCTTTCATCAGGCATTACCATGGCTTTAAGACAGTAACTCATGTTTTTTTCATAACAATATGGTCATAAAGCTTTTATGCATTTTATTTTTAGAAGCCTGCAGCAGCTGCAAAAACATTTTTTGAATTTCTGCAATCACTTGATGGTTATATAACAATGAGTTACTTTAAACAACCTTATAACATCCTCCACTCCTTAACTCATCCATCCATTCTTCTTCCTGCTCTACTCTCACCATAGAAATACTTCAGTCTATGGGTACTTCATTTCTGTGCATTTTTACAGCTACCTTTGATTTGAAGCAATAGTCATAATTATAGCCATGATTTCATCAAACTGAAGTATTGCAGGATGCAGTGCACTGCACTTTTATGTTCTCAGAATTAATTGCTGACATAAAATCAATTATTGAAACGTATTTCTTACACAAAAATACCAGTATGCCTATTAGCTACAAAGAAAATAGCACATTAATAGCACCTGAAAGAGACTTAGACGGGCTTGGCAATGGGTC